TTTACCTTCCAGCTATTTTTTTACCCTTGTCATTCTAGGGTGCTTCTTGCAGGGTCACCAGTTAATAACTTATTGCTAAATTCGACATGTTTCCATCCTAGTTTGGTTGTCAGCAGTATTTTACACAATGGACCACTTCTTTCTTCCTGAGAGACCTTTGTGGAGATCAAGAGGATGTGTTGTGGATACATATTCTCAGGCTCTAAAATTCAAGTGATGATAGTATGTAATTATTTTAATTTTATTTTTTTTTTTATGATAACCAGAGTTAGCTTGAATTCCCGTTCTGCTTGGTAGGAAAAAAAACTTAACTGAATTAATTTTAAGTAAATTTAATTGCTTCAGAGTATTCTCGGAGTCAGGTTTTAATTCCATCAAATCAGAATTGCCCCTCCCTTTCCTTCTTTTCTTCCTGAATTGGTTTAATTTCTGAAAAGTTTATACAATACAATATCAGATGGTGAGGCATCTGGGCTTCAGCCTTCCTTTGTCCTACACTGACATCTGTTGCAATGTACAATCACATCTGCTATCCCCACCACACTGGCATCTGCTGAGGTTTCTGTATACCCACGTGGATTTTTGACATACATCCTACAGTGCTCTTTGTTATAATTTACTCTCATCATGACTACAAATCCCTTTAACATCTGCCAGTTTTCTCATTCTCAGCCAAGTGTCTTGTCAGAGGTAAAGGAAATCCTGTTTCTTTCTCTTGTCACCCAGGGACCACAGGAGACTTGCTGTGGCTGCCTTGTGTCTTCTTTAGCAGCAAAGAGACATCTCAACCCTCTTACTCCTATTTTCATTGGGTTACTAGGGAATACTGAAAGTGTGTTTTTCTCACATCATTTCAGAAAAGCTTAAGAGCAAATGCATCCTTTATTCCTGGAACTTCAAACTGTTTAGTACTTTCTGTAAATATCCCTTTTACTTTTTACTGACTTAAGAGCAGATAAGATAGTCATAAAATTCACCTTAGGCCTAAACCAGGGTGTAAATGTTTCTCTCTAACACATTGTTCAACCTTTCTCTGTACCAAGGGAGCAATTGTTCTTTTTATTCTAATAAAGAGGAAGAGGGATTTAATGTTTCTATTCTTTCTTTGTCTATTATATCAGTAAGATGGCTTTCATTAAAATAAAACCCAAGGATTTAGCATATCTGCTTTTAGGTCTCTGTTTTCACTTCATCCCATCTGGTTGTGCTGGGAAAAAAAGGACCACATGTTAAAGGTCAAGATATCTGATGGAGATTAGAGGGAGAGACTTGCATTTCTGTAGTATGGCAGAATGGGTAATCTGCCTATCTTTGGCTTGGGGAAAATATTATAAATGCTGAATAGATTAACACATTTAAATGCATTGATGAGCTGAGTGGAAAGTAAAGAATATTTTCACGCAAAACTAAATGAAAAGAGAAAAAGTGGTAAGTAGAATGCTAGCTTCCACTTTGAGAACAACTGCAAATTTTAGTGAATTTGAGTTTTAGTTTTCATAGATTTACCAAACATAGAGAACACAGAGATAAGTCCAGTAGTTGCTTAAATTAGGAAGGCTAAAAGAATATAATCCCATCATAAAGCTGGATCCACCAAGTTGGCCAGTCCCTTGATGTAAGTGTAAAATAGATACAAATGTACATTTCTGGAGGGTGTTACAAGAAGACATTTCTATCTTGAATTGTGCCGAATGACTGGGAAAAATAATCATTCTAGCTAAAAATAACCCAAGTATTGGATTGTATGTAGCCTGAATTATGTGATGTGAAAAACTTTAATGCAGTACTATAGTTTAAAGCGGTCCTAGGTTGGTATAGCCCCCAGTCACCTGGCAGAAACAATTGTGAATTTTCTTTGGAAGAATCTGTTTTCAGTCTAAGCCACAAACAATTACCACAAATAAAATTTTAAGAAACATAAATTTATAATAAAAACATAAAACACCCAAAGAAACAAGCTACTACAAGCTAGAGTCTCCAGAAATTAGAGACGGAATATCAAAACTGAACAATATAAAATAAATATGCTTTATGGGATGCATAAATAGAGTACTGAGAAAAAGAAATCAACAAAAAAATGTTAAAAAGACGGAGAAGATTTAACAAAAGACTCAAGAGAATGGTTTGATATTGAAACTATTGTTTTAGATCAGGGTCCCTAGAATCAGTTTCTGAGATATACACTTGAATGCAGGAGGTTTAATTGGGTGTGTTCTTCAAGGAGTGGGCACCTGTAGGGCAGTACAAAAAAGCCTGACTGAGTGATGCAGTTGCAACAGGAGCCTTAACTGATCTTATAAACTCTGGACCCAATCACTCCTAAAATTACTATTTAAAAACAGACATATTTTAGTGTTTCTGTCTATTATACAGAACAGTGACCATCCCCCAGATTGAATATAATGGTCATAAGTGGGAAATGAGATCATAATCATGAAAATTCTTTAAGGACTCTAAAAGTTCTATGCAAATGGGTTATCATGACCATCTATCCAGGAATCAAAAGCACAGCCACTGTAGTCAGATAATCTCAATTCACTTCTGACTCTGACACTCACTAGCTAGTGAACCAAAAGCAAATTACTTTCTCTCTATGCCTTAGTTTTCTCACATCTAGAGTAAAATAAATAAAAATTACTTTGTAGCATTGCTGTGGAGGACTAAATAAGATGAACTTACCTGGAGAATAAGTATAGCACCTATTATATAACTATAGTTTATTAAATATTATCTGATGTAGCAAAAGTACTTTTATTATTTATTTTTGGTTGTGATGGGTCTTTGTGGCTGTGCGCGGGCTTTTTCTGTTTGTTGCGAGCGTGGGCTACTCTTTGTTGTGGTGCGCGTGCTTCTCACTGTGGTGGCTTCTCTTGTTGCGGAGCACGGGTTCTAGGCGCGCAGGCTTCAGTAGTTGCAGCACACAGTTTCAGTAGTTGCAGCAAGTGGGCCCTAGAAAAGCAGTCCCTAACCTTTTTGGCACTAGGTACCAGCTTCGTGTAAGACAATTTTTCCACGGACTGGGGGGTTGGGGGGGTGGGAGTAGGGTTCGTTCAGGCGGTAATGCGAGCGATGGTTCAGGTGGTAATGTGAGTGATGGGGGGAATATTTCAGGTGGTAATGTGAGCGATGGGGAGCGATGGGAAGCAACAGATGAAGCTTCGATCACCTGCTTCTCATCTCCTGCTGTGCAACCTGGTTCCTAACAGGCCTTGGACCCGTACTGGTCTGAGACCCGGTGGTTGGGGACCCCTGCCCTAGAGCGTGAGGGCTTCAGTAGTTGCGGTGTGCAGGTTCTAGGGTGTGTGGGCTTCAGTAGTTATGGTGCACGGGCTCATTAGTTGTGGCTCACGGGCTCTAGAACACAGGCTCAGTAGTGTGGTTCAGGGGCTTAGTTGCTCCGTGACCTGTGGGATCTTCCCAGACCAGGTATCGAACCTGTGTCTCTTGCAATGGCAGGAGGATTCCCAACCACTGCGCCACCAAGGAAGTCCCCAAAGTACTTTTAGAAAGAAAGAGGAGTATCATAATCATAATCCCTAACTTAGCATCTGCCTCACTTTTCCTATATTTATGATATGCTATTTTATCCCCTGTCCCCAAGACATTTTCTGACCATGGCACATGCAGAGCCTAACTCCCATGCCAGAAGCAAAATAATAGTTTACTGAAGTTTGCCTTTACTGGAATATATGTATTCTGCAACAGCAAGAGGTCCTTGACTTTTTCTCTGACTCTTTATATACAGTTATAGGAGAATATAAATGCCCATCCTACCTTTGTTATGGCAGCATATCACATATTTGCATGGTGATACTATTCCTTAGACTAAGTATTTTAGGATATGTTTGGGTTGATTCCTTTCACTTTACTACTACATTTACAAAGCAAGTATAATTATAGTATTGAGATTTTTATTGGCAGAAGCATTCACTGTTAATCAAATAACATTGAAAAATATGTTTTGTATCTGTGCCCTGAAAAGACTATATTGACTTTCTTCTTGTGTGTGTTTGTTTGCCTACACTTAGAACAAGCCAAGGTTCCACTGTTTCTTTGAATAAAGTCCCTTTATCTTGGCCCCTAGAAAAGAGCAAAATTACTGCTAATTTTTATGGTTCAACCTTTCAATCTATCCAGTTGCAGTTGAAATAAATCCCATATAGAATCTGATCCACAAGTTGATTCCTTTACATCAATAAACAAGTCTTTGTTTCATTCTCTGTGTTTGACCAGATTTAACCTGTTCTTCTTTAAAGAAAAAAATCTGGGGCAACTTGACCCCTACCATAAGCTGTCAAGATGAAAAATCCACACTGTAATGTCAATTTGCAATGCTTGTGGTTCAAAGAAGATTTGTGGCACATGTGATTTATTTTCAATCACCTAAGATTTAACAAAGAAACTATACTGTGATTAATCTCAAAAGAATCGAGAGGTAATTTATTTTTACAAATTTTAGTTGAACAGCAAAAGCATGTCATTTCTAGAGATGCTATTACGAAAAACAATAACACAACAGCTATTGAAGTGTGTATAGAGTGAATATTTTAAAATCACAAAGAAAAAAAAGCAACACCTGAGGAAAAACTAATACAGATCTCTACAGACATTTTGGTATGATGATTTCATGATGTTAAATAAAATGATTTAACATCATTTTAAAATGATTTTAAATGATTTCATGGATGTTAAATAGATGGAAGTGATGTATAACATCTTTTCAGGGCTTTTATTATGCGATTAAGCTCCTTTTTCAAATGCATGTATGTCATCCTATTGAGTCCTTCTAATAGAGGATAATTTTAATGCAGATTTTGGTTATCTCAGTAATGAACTTAACAAAAATAAATTAGTTGAAGTGAAAATTCAGCGATGTTGGGATGACTCTTATGTTTCAAATGCTCTGAAACTTGCTCAACTTCAGCAAGTAATTTCTTGCAATTTTCAGCATCTTTAGGAAAATCTACTTTAGAATTAATCTCCTAATATTCACTTTTCAGCTGTATTGTATTCAGAATCAAACCTGTTAGACCTGCCTTCTGCTGAGTAAGTCCTTTGCTTCCTTACTTACACAATTTTATTTTCTTAATGATAACATCTATGATTGCAAATTGCGCCTGACAAATTCTTCTTAAGGTTTTTCCCTTGTTTTCCTGCAAAACCAATTTAGTCTTGTTTTAACTATAAAACCTAACTTATTAATCAACAATTCTTGTTAAGTGCAGAAGTATTCTATTACCAAAAATCCATGTATGAATTAATTATTTTTACTCTTTTATTGCAAGTATATAATCATTAAATAGTTGGATGTGTTTTAACTGGTATTGAAAGATATCTAAGATACAATGTTAAGACAAAAAGTGCGTTAGAAAATAGTGTGTTTTTATACTTACAGCCATATGTATAAATATATTTGAACATGAGTGAATAATATTAAAATATATTAGTACATACATGGAAAAAATCTGCCATAAAATGCAGAAAACTTAATAATATTCCTTTCTTAAGTGGGATCATAGTGAACATTCATTTCTTATATCTGTATGTGTTATTTTTGGCAAATGAGGTTTTATTTTGTTTTGATTTCTTATAATAAAACATGGGAAAAAACCAGAAGCATGTAAATCCACATATTAACAATGACTAGCTTCAGGAGATATGATTATAGGCAATCTTAATTTTCTTCTTGGCTGTGTTTAATATACATGTTAATGAATAAGAGTTATCAGTTTAGGCAATGCAAGGTAGAATCATATTAATGGGCTAAAATTTAGAAACTCCCTCATTTATGGTACTTATAAAAACATCTCATTCTTTATACACTTTTTCTTTGTAAATATGATTTTACATATATGGTTAATTTTATTTTAATGAAATTTATTTATTAATAAACTGCCTTAAATGTGTGAACATTGTTAAATCACCAAACCAAAGGTAATACATCACAGCTAAGTTATTGCTTGACTTTCTCAAAAACTTCTCTGGTTGATTGCCTGGAGATTAGCAATTAAGTACGATTTTTTAAAAATTATATTTTGGTTCTTTATTTTCCTTACCTTTTGTCCTTGTGGTTATGCCAATTTTTTTTATATATAGGGTCACAGGTAATGACAGTAAAATTACAATATACTGTCTTTCATATACAACAGGGAAAAGACATTAGGAAGATTAGTTTCTATTTATAAGAAACATTGAAACCATAAAAGAATAAAAAATCATATTCAGTAAGCCCTTGTTTTAGATATGTCTTTCCCTACATTGCAATGTGCTGAATCACTCTTTCTTATGAACCACATGAATATTTAGGTTTCATTAATTTATTTTAAAATTCCCTGTTTTGTTCCTAATTATCCTCTTAATTTTTCTTACTATTATTGTCTCTTTTTGCTTCTTCAGTCATTGCCAGCAATATTTAAGGTCTCTGATAGTTAATGGTAATGTCAGAGGACATTTTCTGGATCCAAGCCAATCATAACATCTTTCAGTAATGTTCATATATACCAAGCTTGCCAGCTACTTACCAGTGCATAACAGAAGATAAATGTACAGTACTGTACTACCAAGGATAAAAGAATCCAAGCCATCTGACTGCTAGCAGCCTAATTTTTACATAGCTGTTTACAATTCTCATCATGTTATAGCAATAGGATTTATTAATCCTTCTGACATTTTTCTCTTTGACAGCTTCTCAGCTTCTGTTATATCCTTCTTGGATGGGTAAGTACTATATGCTATTCTGAAACTGTGAGTCAAGTTTTGTATGTTGAGACTGTTTTAGACACTTAGTCTACTAAAGTGTAACAACTTGGATTTAACCCTGTCAAAGATAAAAAAAATAGGGCTCAAGGGTTCAAGAAAAGTGAAATGAAGAAAAGTGAATTCAGAGATGTCATGGCAATGGAGCCTTTCAATATTTTTAACTCAGAGTGGGTTAAACTATAACTTACATTATAGTTTCTATGGGCAGGCCTTAGCATTTTACTCCAAATGGAAAACATACTTTTAAGACAGCTACATTCTTTCAAGAATATTCAAATGGTTTGATTTAGGAATATTTTTGCTATAATATTTTGAATTTTACATCTTTTTAACTCTACATTTTCAAATTAATTTCAAATCATTAATAATTAGTTAAAACCACCAATTCAAGGTGGTATTTGTCTCTTTATTGTGTATTACATTTTATTTAATTACTATTAAATAAGATTTGATAATATATATTATATACATTAAATACAAACAGTAAAAACAGAACAAAATTATTCAAAGGATGTGTGTGTGTGTGTGTGTGTGTGTGTGTGTGTAGATCCACATACTAACAATGACTAATTCCAGGAGACAGAATTATAAGCCATCTTAATTTTCTTACTTCTTATATATAATACTTTTATTTATATATACAAACACCTGAATTTATCATTTATTACAGCCAAGCTCTAAACAAGATTATGCTGCTAGAATCTATAGCAAAAAGGAGAGAAAATATTTAAATTCTGTTATTCCCTTTGTCCAGTAAAAGAAATAAAGTATTTTGTTTAATGTGGACAGATACATTTCTTTATGCCAGTGAATCCAGAAGCAATTCAGGCATATAAAATATATTAGTTAGATTCATGTTGTCAACCATAAATTTACCCAGAAATTTTATTCAGATGGGTAATTTATATTACCCATCTGATCGGATCTTTGTCTGATCTGTTGCTTGAAAATTGAAATCCTATCTTTGTTTTGTCTTAAGTTAGTCTCTTAATGAAAATTTTGCTATAGAAAATAAAGATGATATGGTTTCATGTTACTTCCTCATGATCTAATTTGATACATTTAGTTTAAAATTTTAAAAGGAAAATATAGTTATGAGATGATCTCACTCAAATTTCAGGTGTTTCACACTTTTGTCAAGTGATAAATGCTGTTTCTGTTATGATTATTTAAAATTTTGAGATGAACAACTAAAGCAATATACTCTCGTATTATTAGAGAAGGATCCATGATCTTTAGACATTGACATTCTTCTGTGAAAGTTTTGGAGTATGATTACATGTTTCCTCAACTATTCAGATGTTTTCTATCATATTTCTTCATAGATGTAAAACAAAGTGTTAATTCCTACACATGTAGGAAAAATTCAAACATGTTATGCATTTTGTACATTTGATGCAACTTAGAATCTGTTTTAACCTTAGAAAGGAACTTGTTTGAGATAGTATAATTCTTCACCATCTTATTAGAAAGTCATAGTATTTGTCTAAAGTATTTTGAACACAGGTGTGGCAGTTGCACTGGGTTACACAGGATAAGAAGGGAGTGTTGGTGATTTTCATCTCTGTGTCTATCCGATTTCTTGTGGAGTCTTTTGTCTGATGTAGTTTAACTCAAAATCATTGCTATATATAGCCAAATTGTGTAATTTCCCCGAGATTCAGAAAACTGGTAAGTAACCAATGGAGAACCAATTAACTAATGATTAATTTTCACATATGTTCTTATTCATTAAAAAAATGGGGGAAGAAAAGAAAAATATGGTATACTCTAGATTCATCAGTTTCAATCTCTTTTCATGGTATACAGTAAAGTTCTAGAAAATGTCACAAGGTTAAAAAAAATTGATTTTTATGTCACTAGTCTTTATTAATGACTATCAGAGATCCTTTTAAAGTCAGTGTTTATTTTAAATTTTCAGTAATTTACAAAATAATTTTTTATATTCATGTTATTAAAATGACATTTCACCAAGAGTAACTCCATTTCCCCAAATTAGCACATCCTCGTATTTTCTTTCTGAAGTCACATAAATGAATTAAATATTTTGTAACTGTTGTTATCTCATGCATGGTAGAAAAGCTTGGACCATTACTAATAATAATTATTAGTAATTTTATATACATATGTAAATCTATGTATAAAATTTATGTAAAAAATTACTGCTTGATTATTCCTCATAAGATGTTAGACCAGAGAAAGTACAGGCCTCAAAAGATAGCTCTGGAAGTGACAGTAACAGATTTAAAGCATTGGATTACCTGGTTTTGTAACACTTATTAATAAATAAAGATTAATTTCAGAATATTATTAGGATATCTATAATTCTTTCAAAATTCAACTACATAGAGCTTCACAGTTTGAGGAGGGTCAGTGGTGTCGAAGAGGTCATAAAAAGGTTGTTGCATCTCACTCTTTACACATCACGAATTCACGATTTTAAGCGAATGATTAATTGTTGGGGTGCTAATTTTCCATTAACTATTTTAAATTGTAATTAATGACAAAGTGTATATTTTGAATCATAATGGAAATATTTCATATTTTTAAAAAATCCTATATATGATGAAAATCTATGAAAATTTATTTTTATTGAGGTTTGGATTTTTTCAGCATCTTATAAAAGTCAAATTTATAACGTATGGGTGCTTTGTAGAACAAGTACATCTCCAGATAAAGGAAAAACTTACATATACTTACACAGAGGCCTCACTTCCCTAAAACCCCAAAGCATCTTGACTCTCTTTTGTATTACTCTTTTAATTTTTACCTAGATCATTTAAGATATACAGATACACAATTTGCAGACATGCAATTTCATAAATACTTTCAGAGATGAGAAATTGAATTATATGCTGTTTACATATTTACCAGGGAACTTTACTGCAGTCATTATATTTTATTTTTTTATTCTCTGGATGATTTTTAAAGATTATAATAGCATTTTTAAGTATTTAATAGTGAATTTCTAAAGAGCAGTGATAAACATGGCAACATTAGTTTTCTGATATTCTCAAAATTCAAAGAATAATAAAAGCCAATGTCCTTAGTCAATTGTTATATAAATTACTGAATAATTATTGTGTGATGAGGCTATCAGTGTATAAAATTGTTTTAAAGACCTGGAACATGAATTCAACCTCAGTGCAGTGTATATGTCTCCATATTCTTCTCAAGAAGCAGAACCTGCCTATTATCAGCATATACAGAATATGGTGGATGTATGTTTTTCATATGAACACCATATCTCTTCCACTAAAATAACCCAGTTCATTCCACGTATGTCAATAGGCAGGGGCCCAGACTGCATCCCTTCATAACCCCCCACACCATAATGAGAGACATATAATTCAGGTCTCATATATAATTAAAGCTCACTGTACTGTTGGTCAGACAGATTGGTTTAGGGATGTGTGAATAATCTGAGTTAGGTTACTGCCTTTGTCCCTATTTGCTACTCTGAAGGAACAAAGTAAAGGAAAGCTGAGATATGAATAGAAACAGTGTCACTATGTCATTGTTTGTGACCTAAAATCTTTTCAGTAACATCTGCCAGTATATTCACCTTTTTAAAAAACGCATTCTTATTTTGAGAATGATTCTTGATAAATGCATTAAGAAATATTGACTCAGTGGGATATATTTTGGGATTTCCAGGTCATTTGATGGCCTTGATAATAGTATGTTGGCTGAATCCAAATTTTGTTGTGTGACCAGGATCTAGACTTTCCACAAAATTTGTTAAATTAGGGGAAAATGAGGTATTTACATACATATTTTTTACAGTGTGAGTGTGTATTTGTGTGTGTGCACACGTGTTTAAGTTTTTGGGAGATAAGTTAATTACTAAGAAAAGACTCTATAGCAGAATTATGTTTTCAATCTTTTATTGACATCTAGAGAATAGACCTCAGCTTCAGACGTTTAACTATTCTAAGGACTCTGGATCTGTTTTTCATTGTCTTCTAGGATCTTTGGAGAAGCTGCGTGCATAGAGTCTTATATGACCTGCAGCAGTGCTCCTTTCCCCAATGAAAATGAATAGTTTTCATTCTACATACTGCTTGTTTCATTCTATATACTGCTGGTATGCATAGCTAAGTATGCCCTGTCTCCTGCTTCCATCCTTATTTCTTCAGTTCTTGAGATCACTGATGGGAGAAAAGGACAATTACTAAATGACATCTACAAAATGCTAAAGTGCTCACCCAACCATAAGATTCTTCTATTTACTGTCCTTATTATTTACGTTGATATTTACTTAATCTAGGATGTACACTCTTAACATATGGGGTGATTTAATAAGACCATGGAAATAAATATTATCCACTGTTCTTTCTTTCATTGAATTACATGAGATTAAGAATATCTAGGCTAATGTTTCCACATAAAATGCTATAACATCTTTCGATGTACTCTTTTAAAATATACAGTAGAAGATGCCACTGAAGCATGGTATGCTGTATATTACCAGTGGAATGGACTTGTGCAATTGAGGATATGGTTTGAACCGTCTGGCAAGCACCATGCTTTTTTTTTTTTCAATCAATTTTATGTTATCAAATGTCTTGTGGTCACTTTAGGACAAAAACACAATCCCGATATGGTAACATTTAAATGACTAACCCCATGTTAAAGTCAAATGCTGAACCTAATTTAAAGTTATTTCCCTTTCCTTCTTAGGGAACTTGAAATGAAAGGCAGAGCAGTGATTCTTCACCTTTTCCAGCTAGCAGTCCCTCAGCTTTTTAGCCAAGAACTCTTGAGTCTCCATGATCAAAGTAGAAGGATGAGGAGAGAAAAGCAGATAAGAGCATTTTAATGATGAATTCAGTCCTTCTGGGCCAGATTCATTGCTCTTGTCAAACTTTTTTTTCTTATGGACCATTTCTGTGGCTCTCATTGCTGGCCCCCTTTCCTTGGTATGGTCAGGGTCTCTCTTCATTTGTTTGTTCTAA